TAGAGTTCCTCTCAAATGTGAACAATACACACACACTTAGGTGTGCACTTACTGACATGCACCAAGGATAAGTCCCTTATCCACATGCGTGTGGACCACTGAGCCTTCCTGCACCTCGTCCTGATTCCCATGTTACTCACCGTGTGTTTTTTAAATCTTTTGAAGCAGCTTTGCAACGAGGAAGCTGCAGAGTTCATGCATTCATGTTCGCGGGTGTGTATTAAGAGTACGACTGTGGAGCGTGGAGACTTGCTGATAAAACCTTCCCCAGGATTCCCATGGTAGTCTATTTTCATTTGCGAGGAATGAAGTCTTTCCCATTCAGAAATTCCTTTGTCTGCCCCCCCCCAGAGAGCACGTTAACCTCAGCGACTTCACTCCCTTGCCTATAGGGAGAGGGGGGAGGATACAGTATGGAAGAGCTGCAGGGAAGAAGGCCTGAGGGAAGGGTGAGTCCTGCTTCGTGGATTCTGGGGGGGTGGTCGTGGTTCAAGAGTGCGGAAGAAAGGTCATGGAGGTCGGTGTTAGGCTGAGAGCTGCTCTTGTTACAGCTGCGTCTAGACTGGTCGCTTCTGTTTCAGCCCTCAGTGTCTCTTTGAGGTGGGGTTACTTTCCGTCAATCACTCATCGGGAAGCAGGAAGGAGGAGGATAGAGAAGAAACACAACATGAAGCACCATTATTTAAATAATTAAAGGCTACAAGTTACCAAACAATAGTTTAGGCAGGTCTGCAGAAACATTGTCGGATCTAAAGAGACGATTCAAGCGTCCAGGCTTTAGGGCGGAGCATCCCGTCATCTATTTGTTATAATCTGAAGTAAGACACTACATTTATTCCTCTTTGAGGATATTAATGTGTGACACAAAGTGACTGCCGGCTACACGCTGATGACATGATGCCAGGAACTGAATAAAATCCTCGACTAAGAGATAAAATTCACTCTAACAGCGAAACCTCAGGGCTGAAACAACACTTTCATTCCTTTCTGATGGGAAACCAGGTCATCCTTATCCTTATTTATGGATGGAGTCTTGTTCACAGGATTTATTAGCTGCAGGAGTTTATGTGCCGCTGTCTGTTTGTCAGCAGGATTACGCAAAAACTACTGAATATATTTCCATGAAACTTGGTAGAAGGACGGGACATTGGCCAAGAAAGAACCCATCAAGACAAAGGAGCATATTTAGGGAACTGATATATATGAGTGTGAGCCATTTGCTGCAGCTCCATTGAATTTAAGGGGCCTGTTCAACCTTGGTCGGGGCCTGAGCTCTACTGAATGTCATCCCAGTTGTTCTTTAAAACAGCCATTTCAAAATAAAGCCACACAAATTCAAGCTGAATTATTCAAAGTCATATTTTATCAAGGATGGGTTATTGTCTGTTAGGGTGCTTAGTGATTTCATAATCTGAAGTCAGTGTCTGGTCTCAGCAGCAGTTTCAGGATGTGCTTCAGACAATGACGGCCTGAGAAAAGAAGAGAAAGCTACGAGACAGGTTCCGTTTGGCACATGTACAGTGTCGCACAGTCGTACACATTCACGTCATGCGTGGTTTCAGTCTGCAGAGCTCAGCCATGTGTCATGTTGGGTGGAGCGGTGAGACAGGTGCAGAGATGAAAAGATTGGCGGTGGTGAGCGAGGGGGGGTTTAGGAGGGTGTTCCCGCTCCGTGGCTGTTCTGACAGGCCTTTGGTATTTTTCCAAAGAGTGTGAGAGCATGTGTGTGAGTCAGAAAACCTGCTCGTATTTCTCTGGGGATTGTGCAGGTGTGCGTACCTGGAATCACGTCTGGCTTTCTACCGCTGTGCTGGAATGCATGCCACAGACAACTACCTGCCTGCCTGTGTGTGTTTGTGTGTCTTCATGTGTTAGGTGATAGACGTGAGAGCCTATAGGTGTTGAGCCTCTTTGAACGCAACTGTGGCGACGTGGCAATGTGAGTTTGAGAGCTCTGGTGGAGTTGTGTCTGACAGCGGAGCACAGTGACAATTCCAGAGACAAAGCTCAGCCGCATGTTCTTGGCATATGAATCCAGAAAGTCTGAGTTTTCTCCTGTGCAGTGGGATGCATGTAGTTAGTGATGAGTTCAGTAAAAATAAAAATAAAATAAAAAATTGTTTTCTAGCAAGATATTTTTAGAGTTGTTCTTCCTGCGTCTGTGTGTATGTGTGTGTGTTTGTGGGAGAGGGCACATCTGCACGGTGATAATGCTTTGGCTGCCGTGGTGCAGGCCATTGTGTTAATACACTCTGTCAGTGTGTTAATATACTGCAAGAATGAGAGCGAGAACGAGAGACCGAGAGAAAGAGCGTGAATAATTATGTTTCCCCCTTTTGTCTCGACTCCCTCAATTAAGCCTGAAGAGCGGCAGCCAGACCACATGTCTACTTATCCACTTAAAGCTCAGAAACAATAGGACCCCCCAATGTCTCTCTATCTCTCTGCTTCTCTCTCGCTCTCAGTTTTTATCTCTTCCTCTCTCGCTCTCACTCTTCCATATCAAACTTCCATTCACAGCCCAGTACGCCCAATATGTTGTCTGTTTTCGTCCTCTCCCCCTCCTCTGTCTGTACGAACCTCAGTGTGTTTTTCCGCCCGCGGCCTCGCCTCACCTCTCAGCTCTACGTGGGTTTTTACGAAGTGCAGCTCTCCCCCTCCTCTCCTCATCACCCCCTCCTCTCCGTCTTCCCGTGCCTTGCTGCAGGGCACGGGAAGAGGTAAAACGAAGAGACTAAACATTTTAGACTGTACACTGCCGGGGGAAAGGCAGCGGTTTGATTTCCCTTGTGTTGTGTCAGGCAGGATTATTCTGTTTGTTTAGCTTGTGTGTGTGTGTGTGTGTGTGTGTATATGTGTGTTTTTACCTCCTCTGCACTGAACTCACAACCAGACGTATAGATGAATCATATATAACAGTGACGCACGGTTAATGCAACCTGCCGCTCTCACTACTCAATTACCAATATTTGATTAATAAGCCTAATTATTAACAAAGTAAACTGAGGCCAGATTTAAAAGGGAAACAGGCCTGACTCCAAATCAAATATCCAGCACCTGTCGAGCATTGTGTGAGGATGCTAATGTGTGTGTTGTGTGGGGGGTGGGGGGGTGGGTGTGCAGCATGTGGGATGAGATAAATCTCATCAGGCCAGAAGGGATGGAGAATGGAAGACGGATGAGAAATAAAGATTGAAGAGGAGGAAGAGGAGGAGAAGTATCAGGGTCAAGTTTAGCTTATGTAACTGTTTCCCACAGCAGGGGTGAAATGCTGCATTGGCTAAGTTTGATCACACACAAACACGCACACACTCACAGACACACACACTTGCACGGTGCAATGTCAGAGCTGACCTCGGAAAAATGTGCTGTTTATGGTTTCCATGCATTTTTATCTTCAGCGCTTCTCTTGTTGTTATTTCCTCTCGTCCTCATCTGAACTCTCATGCCTGAGAACAAATCAACAATGTTTTCTGATTATTATCAATAATAATGTAATGGAGCGATCTGAGTTCTTATAATTATAATTATTATATATATGTTTTTGTTTTTCTCTCATGCAAAACGGAACATTGTTAAAAACAACAACAACAGAGCACCAAGCGTTAAACTAAACAATGGCTGCTGTCATCAGTCAGTTGGGTCGAAATAACGTTATAATTATAACAAACACTTCAGATCCTTGGGAACAAAGTGGTTATGCTCTTAAAAAAAATGACGTCAGATGTTAAACCAGATGTGAAATATTGAAACAGGCCAACTTCTACTTTACAACAGTTTATCACTTCCGCCAAGGAGGTTATGTTTCCAAGAATAATTAATGGATCTTGATGAAGGAACTGGTTATACTAATAATACTGCATTTTATTTTTTACAGCACGTTTCATACATAAAATGCAGCTCGAAGTGCTTTACAATAAAATCGAAGACATGAAATAAGAAAGATCAATAAAACAAAGACTAAGAACATAAAACTAGCAAAAGGTATAAAAAGATATCTATGAGTGGGTGAAATCTGGAGCAGCTCGAGGTATGAGCTCCAACGCCATGCTAGTTTCTTTTTTTTTTTCTACATATGTTTCTCTTACATTACTTTCCTATTTTAAAAACCTGTTTTCAAACCAATCTGAAAAGTTTTTGCAGCGGCCAGTTTCCCAGCTAAAGTGCTAAATGTCGATGTTAGGCAAGTGAGAAGGATCACACATACAAATTAAAATTTTCTCTGCATGTGAACAGAAAATATGTGCAAATCTACACTCAGGCGAGGCATGCTAGTGCTTGCATACCTTCACACTATACATAGCACATTATGGAAATCATGGTCTACTCTAAGCAGCTCAGGGCTGGTATTAGAGAAAATTAGGTCGTGTTGGCAAGGATCATTTAATTGAGTCTTAAGCAGAAAATCATACTCCATGGCAGCTTTCATCTTCTGTCATTTCAGCGTGTGCGAGCGAGTGTGTGTGTGTGTGTGTGTGTGTGTGTGCACACACCTCTTTGTCTGCAGGGGAACAAGGGGTGTTTTCCCAAAATGTTTTGTGCACATGTCTGTACACGCCTGCACGGTTTTCTCGTTGCCAATGAGTTTCAGGGAGCAGTTCAAAGATAATACGGTTGTTTGTGAGTTTTTTGTTGTCTCCCCTGTCGGGCTCAGAAGATTGCTTTGTGCTCTGTGCTTCTGATCATCTGTGAGTTTGTGTGCAGGTTTTATGCATTTAAATACGTATTTCTTGTTCTTTACGTTGCCATTATCTCAGCACCGCCACTGTCCGCAGAATCCCTTACTCCCTTTCATACGATCCCTCATCCCTTCTCTGGTGCACTTTACTCTCAGCCTCTCTCCACCTGCCTCATGTCAGGCACCTGGCAGATGCAATCGTTTCAGAAGTACGTTCTCATCTTCCGTCTCCTCCTCTGTGTGTTTGACACGTCGGGTCACTTTGAAGTCGTGAGAGTTCTGCACTGAAACACTTCCCTTCCTCTTTTCTTGTTCATCTCAGGGCACACCCACTCCACCGTTTGAGGATGTGCAGAGGGTCATGCGGTCGGTGAAAGACGACACCACCACGATGAGAGGATGCTGGTGATGCTTTAACCACAGGTAGCCACAAAATAGCTGCAGCAGTTTTATTTTGTCTTGCATTGTTCACAATTTGTTCAGGTGTCATATTTTAATATAATTCATGGATTTGTTTGTTTGGATTCACTTAAAACAGGTTTTTGTCTCTGAGAGGATTTTTTGTCTACACTGAGAACCTGGTGGTGTAGCTTTGATTTCGTGTGATTCACAGTCGAGCAAACATTCTGACAGCAGTTGACTCAGCAGCTCTTATGTAACGCAGAGCATGAGGCAAAGCTGAGATAACTTAACGATCAACAAAATGCACTGCAGAGGCCCCTGCACCCGTTGTTGCTTCAGCCAAGATTATAAGTGTTCCTGAATGTGTAGATCCAAAAGTCCAGAGAGCGACAAAGACTTTTAAATGACCTAAATTTTAAATGCGAGGAAAGAACAAAGTTACTATTCCAACTTTTAAAAGTCCCTGAAAGCTGGGTGGGATTTTGATGCATTCTGAGTACTTAAATGGAACAAAACCACAAAACCACAAAACCTTTAGGGACCCTCTCTGAGATGTTAGTCGTGTCTATGCTCAAAATGAAAATTGTATTCATTTTTTTTTACTGTGATTTCCGAAGCAAATTCCCGAGTGTCCAGGTCAGTTAAAGTAGCCACAAACAGACGAGGGAATTTCCACCTCAACTCTTGAAACCTGACCCCTCTCATTTGTCTGACAGCTCCGTCCCTACAAAGGACTCCCAGAGATCCTGGATACCCTTGATACACCATCATTAGTCAATGGGACATCAAAGTCCGTGATTGACCTGCTCATAATTTGAATCTCAAAGCCGACAGCAAAGATCATTCTTTGTTCAGAGGGCAGGAGGGTGTCTGAAATGTTTTTGACAACCTGCAGGTTGGTTTACAAGATTGAGAGCAGGTCATTAATTTCAAATGAAGCGAACTAAGAGACTTCCTTTTTTGTTTTTGAACAAATACTAAAATTAGGGTTTCCAGTTCTTTAACATGCGTACCCAGTTTTTCTTTAACAAAACCTGCTTCACAGAATTGCAGCAAATATCCGATAGAAGTCTAAGAATCAGACAAATGCACAAATTAAAATTGTCACACACAGTGATAATTTGATAGTTCTCCAGAATGATGCTCACCTGTAAAGAGCCCCACGGTCACAGCAATTCTTTTTTTAAGAAGATTGCTTTTGCGTTCTCATTACGTTGCCTTGGAATGAGGATGAGGAACTTTATAAGCAGAAATGTTCATGTGGCTCAAGACAAGTTATAAAACAACTAAATCCCTTTTTCACAAACTTAAAACAAGTAATGGTCTAGATTCATAATAATGATTTATGATAATGATTTTTTTTTTTGGATGTCTATGTTTCACAGAAACCTCTTTTTTTAATCTGCAGTTGAATCATGGGAAACGCGGAGAGTCAGAATGGGGACCGTGGTTTCTATGGCGATGTGACGGGACCACTCTCCCGTAAGCACACGTCCCGCTCGCTCCGTCTCTCCAGCAAGCAGCCGATCACCCGCCGCTCCCGACACTCCTCTTCAGTGAAGCAGGAGCACAGAAACTCTGAAGCTTCAACTCGCTCCTCCAGCACTCCCAGCATCCCACAGTCGTTAGCAGAGAACGGACTGGAACCTTTCAACGCCACGGATGAGTTCGGAGAGTTCGGCATCAACCCTCACTGGACGCAACGCGTTGCCATGACAATGAGGCCTGAGTCCTATCAGCAAGATGATGACCCGCTTGCCACACCAACTCCTGAAACCTCAGAGGCGGACACCATCGCTCAGGATGGAGGAGAGGACTCCACGGGAGAGGGGGAGGGAGACGCTGCGGGAGAGGAGAGGTACCTCCAGCGAATGACCGAGGGCCCCCGAGAGGGAGGCAGTTTTAAAAAGAAGCGCTCGAAGTCTGCGGACATGTGGAGGGACGACAGCCTGGAGTTCTCTATGTCTGACCTGAGCCAGGAGCACCTGACCAGCACTGAGGAGATCATAGATGGAGGAGAAGAGGAGGAGGAGGAGGAGCAGTTCACACGCCCCAGTGCAGGTGAGGATGGTAAACACATTTGGAGCACACATAAAGGTGAAAGAAATCACAGAGTGTAGGAAAGAAATCATTTTAAAAAGTCGACTGATTGAAGGTTATCTGCCGTCCATCAGCTGCAGCGTGGTTCAGTTGATGATGGGTTTGTTAGTGTAGCTGCTGCGGTGCAGGAGCTGCAGCATGACAGCAGGAGGTAGAGCTGGTAACATATCTGCTGAAGGTATGACAGTGCCCCAGGGGGTCGGCGAGTAAAGTATGGGCTTGGTACGCACACACACACACACACGTGGTGAAGGGTAATTTAACCGTCAAACGTGAAACATAAACAATAATCAAAATAAACAACCTCAAAATACACACACTGCCCTGCAATAACCACCTGTGTTCATTTCAGGCTCCGCTGAAAGAGCATCGTCTCTGGACCATCTGTGCAGCCAGCAGAGTCCCGGCCTCAGGGGGCCGAGGAGCCGCTACCCTAAAAACCGGAGAGAGGCTGATTGTGACGGAGATGGAGAGGAGGGGTTGATGTCTCCGACCGAGGAGGATGTCGGCGGCTATGGAGCGTTCACGCTTCCTTGCCGACGGTCCCACTGCCTGTCCGAGGGCTTGGGAGGCCTCGGCATGCCGGCGGCACCGTGCCCTGCTTTCCAGGGACGTCGTGCACAAACTACCCAGGTTGGCTCGCGTTTCATCAAATGAGTACACAAAGCAGATGAACCCAAGATCAGATTACGAGTCTTTTTCTTCTGTCTCCGTCCTGAAACATAGACCCCTACATGTAGAAAGAGGACCTTGTTTACGAGTAGTATCCAGGAAGTTCAGGCGGTTCACAGGCCTGACAGACAACACCAGTCAATCCACCAATTAACATTTTGTTGACAACAGACATTTCCTGTGTGTGCTCATACTCAGCAGTTGTGTGTGTGTGTGTGTGTGTGTATTTTCATAGTGGGGAATTAAAGAAGTCAGAGACAAAGTCACTGCGGGGCTACTTGTCTAACGATGGCCTGGTTTCTCCATTCCCCCTCCAGGAATGAAAGCAATAAAGCATGATATCTTCCCTGCCTCATTCACCAACCACTCACACACTGTAAATACACACAGACAGGGACACTTGGATCATAATTTACAGGCTTATCTTACAAAAGCAGATTCACTCAAAGGGTAAAAGAGAAAGAAGCTGTGATGTTGCACCAATAATCCAGTTAATATGAGATTCAATGGACCAAAACAAAACCACATCAGGAGAATTAAGAATTCAAATATGCTTTCAATAATTTCCATGTGTCATTGTTTAAAAAAAAGAAAAAAAAAAGTTGGAAAATAAAGAAGGAAGTGCGGAAATAGGAAACCAGGCTTTTGTTTCAACTCATTCCCAGAACCTCCAAGCGCCCTTGGATAGCGGTGCACCCTAAGTGCTCATTATAAATTCATCTAGCCAGGCTGGGGGGGGTTGTTCTACGGGATATAAATAGATCGACAACACGGCAAAACAAAGAACAGAAGGAGGCTGTGTTTGGTGAAGGAAAAGTGTGAAAGCACAGCAAACCCCCAGCTCGAAGTGGAAAGTCTCCATGTTGCAGGAATGCACGGCTAAATATGTGCACAAACAGGCACCTACAAACATAGACCCAGAGACTCCTCGTGTAGTATGAGCTGTCAGGTTGATTCCTGCAACTGGAGTGAAATGACCTCTTGTATTATGACCTCTCCCACACTGACATGATTGGTCATTCATGCAGTGCTCACTATAGATCACTGTTACGTTTATCTGAAGTTTCACTCATGCATGTTTTTCCATCCAAATATATCAGAATCGGTACATTAATTAAAAATCCACGAGTTAACCTGTTGTACGTTTGGCCGACAGGACATCTCTGCTGTTTTGGGCGAAGGAAGCGAGTATGGCGACAGTGGCATTGATGGCGTCACCACGGAGATAGACGGGGACGGAGAGCTGGTGTCGCGGCGCTGTAAGGCCATGTCGGCCTCTTTCTCAGTTTACTCGGCTGCCGAGAGCAGCGTCTTCAACGGCAGCGACAGCGGAAGCAGCAGCGCCGGAGGAGGGGAGGGAAGAGGTGGAGAGGGAGGAAGGGGAGGAGTGTACGAGAATTTCCGGAAGGAGCTGGACAATCAGGCCTGGGTTAGTTACTGTTTGTATGTGTGTGAATCTCACTAACTGTAAGTTGGATAATTGCGTCTAAAAGCTAAATGACATGTCCTGAACATGCTTTTCTCTTTCTAATCCCTTCATCTTTCAACGACCCTCTCATCAGACACCGGGTCGGGACTGCACGGAGGAGGCTGGCTCCGCTGTGAGCGATGAGCAGAGCAGCGGCACTCTCAGCAACGCGTATCCATCGGACACTCTGACCGGCTGTGCACAAGGCACGGTCAGGAAAGCAGGAGCTCTGGCCGTGAAGAACTTCTTGGTTCACAAGAAAAACAAGAAGGTGGAACCTGCAACGAGGCGCAAGTGGAAACAGTACTGGGTTTCTCTGAAAGGTGCAGAGACTCATGTGTTTCTGTTGGATTAGTGTTTTCTGTTTGTTTATCTGATAATTTTTAAAAGGAGAGTTGACAGAAAGTTTGGAGCAGCAGGTTTCCATCCAGATTCAAACTGAAGACAATGTGATTACACGGTGTTGAGCGCATCAGGCCCTGACACCATCACAGCCCTCGTCATGACCTCTCAGATGTTCTCCATGCACTTAAATGCTTCTGCATCCAAAACCAAACCAATCGAAAATGTACTTCCTACCAATATCTTTTATTTTCTAACAGAAAAAAACATTGAATCTACACCAAAATCCTGCAGCTGTAATGTTGCATCCAGATAAACATCTTGACCCGACCTGTTTAATCTCTCACTCCATCTATCCTGTTAGACTGTAATCACATTTTAACACAGTCCGTGCCCTTGGTTGTCGCCTCTGCTGTCCGATCTCACCCTCTCTTGTCTGGCCTCACATTGCTTTTCCTCGGCCTCATCTCAATTTAATTTTACGGCGATGCCGTATCTAATCCAATCTCGTACTCTCAAAATGCAGTTGCGGAATCTGCAGCTGCATTCCTGCGTCTCCCTCCTGTCCCACAGACCCATCCCCCTAAAAATAAATACAATAAATGGAATAAATTCATTTAACAGAATTTCTTTTCCCTCTGTTTGTATTTTCCGTTGTCTTCAAGGCTGCACCCTTTTCCTGTACGACTCGGACGGGCGCTCGGGTATCGACCATAACAGCGTTCCCAAACACTCGCTGTGGGTGGAGAACAGCATCGTACAGGCCGTACCTGAACATCCCAAGAAAGATTTCGTCTTCTGCCTCAGCAACTCAGTGGGGGATGCATTCCTCTTCCAGGTGAGAGAGACACAGGAATTTAAAACATGGCTGTGACACAACAGTTTATTTCCTTTTAAATCAGAGGTGCTCAAACCAACGGTTACAGCTCAAAGTCTAATAAATCATTTCCACAATAATTTCTCCTCAGGGACTTTTGCATGCTTTTGTGTGTGTGTGTTTGTGTGAGTGTGTGTGTGTGTGTGTGTGTGTGTGTGTTTGTGTGTGTGTGTGTGTGTAATGTACATGACATTTAGCCATGTGGGCGATAAGCTGGTCCTGTGTCCATGTGTTTGTTTTGTATGTGACATGTTTAAAGGCCACACTGTCAAGCTGTGACAGTGATCCACCACTGGGACCATTGTGTAATATTTAAAATGTCTCTAATTATATTCATGGCATCTGTCCACAGTGACATTCAGTCAAACAAAGAGAAGATGAAAGATGAAATGATGATGAGATTAAAGGGTAATGTTGTGATTTTCCGTCCCTCTCTGCTGTGACAGACGTCCGGCCAGACAGAGCTGGAGAACTGGATCACGGCGATCCACTCCGCGTGCGCCGCCGTTCTCGCTCGGCAGCATCACAGGGAGGACACGGTGCGACTGCTGAGAACCGAAGTCCGCAAGCTGGAGCAGAAGATCGACATGGACGAGAAGATGAAGAAGATGGGAGACATGCAGCTGTCCACCGTCACAGATGGCAAGAAGAGGAAGACCATACTGGAGCAGGTATGGAGTTCAAGAACCAGTCAAATACATAAAGTGTTTTACTCGGTAATTATATTCAGGATGAAAAACAAAGAAATACACACCAGACACAACAGGAAGTTATCAAAAGGTCTTTTTCTTACTATTAAACTGCAAATACTGAGTCACATGTGAAGCTGCTATAAACCAGGTTTGTGATCTCATGTGATGAGCTCTACCACTGATTGTCTTTAGCTTCCACACGACTTAAGAGAAAACACCTCAGGGTCTCTACAGATGCACATCGCTGTACCTTTGAACTGCACTAATGCTCTCACATGCTGAAAACTGCAATAAATCATCTTTCCTGTGTGGCGTCATCCAGACAAAATGTTCTTAGGGAGCGCTTGCACCGACAGATGTTTTCAGATTTTCCCGACTGGTGCTCATTTACAAACACATGCAAGTGCATGAGTGCAGAACGCAGAATATTCACAACACATGTTGGAGCACACATGCGCTGCACACACCAGCAGGCAGGTGAACCTGACATATTTCTCTAATTTGCTCATATTTAACTGCTGTTTTGAAACAAGTCACAGCTGTTCCAGGATCAGGTTTGTTCACTTTCGGCGGAACATTGCGTGTGGCTTTATTCTATAACTCCATGCATGTCTGGAGCTGCTGCTGAATGTTAAAGCAGAACTGCATTTACACTTTGCAATGGAGCAGAAGAATTGCTTACAGACAATGGGCCTCCCTGTGTGAAGCTCTGAACCTTTGTGTGGGATTTGGATGAGAGTCAAGTTTGAGGAGCACAAATCCACATTACATAGAATCCTTCAACCTGAGTCTTCAATGACTGACAGCGATATTCTGATATGAACCCAAATGAGACAATAGTCTGAATAAAACACTTCCACATAAGCAGCATTTTTCCTCTTGATGTGAATAAGATCAGTAGAGCACCACCTCCGTCATGGCCAAATAGTCCCCCTCCTGTAAAACCTCTTGTGAATTCACTAGATAGAGAGTTTCTTTTGGACCTGCACTAAATACACATAAACACATAGATATCAGTTCTCGAAATATAGATATTTTCATCAGGTTCCATGAATTATTATCAGAACTACTTATTGCATCTCTGCGTGACCTCTTGCAAGAGTTTTCATGGACCCTTTGTTGTCTGGGACCAGATATATCGAGAAAATGAGTTTACATCAGAAGACAGCCCTGTGATCCATGTTAAATTCAACATGCAGGGAAAGAGCTTCTGTATAAAATTTGTATTAAGTCGTGAAACAAATGGGTGAAGGCAGGAACCAGTGCAAATTGAATCTAGGTTGTGTTGCATGGTGAGTGTGAGTGTTTCTGCATCCCACAGTCCACCATGTGATACATTGCACATAGCACAACAGGTCGGCGACTGGTGGGGGTTGTGTTGGTGAGTAATACCTCTCCACAGGGGCTTCAGCACGCCCACATCATCCTCCTGAAACAACCGAATCACCATGGAACACAGTGATCTTTTATGCATATATTTTTAAAAACCCTTTTCTTCTCTCCTGTGGTTTTCATCTCTGGCCTTCCCAGGGATAAATGTGGATCTAATCAGCAAAGTTTGCTCATGTTACATAACCACATATCCACCCCTCTCACTGTTTTTCACACGTCTCCCTCCGTCAGATCTTCTTGTGGGAGCAGAACTTGGAGCGGTTTCACATGGATCTGTTCCGCTGCCGCTGCTACCTGGCCAGTCTGCAGGGCGGCGAGCCCCCCAACCCCAAACGCCTACTGGGCTTCGCGTCACGTCCCACCAAGCTGGCCATGGGACGACTGGGCATCTTCTCCGTATCTTCCTTCCATGCACTGGTATGAATTCCTATACAACCACTTCCATTCATGCACACACTTTAACTCATTCCACAACCTGCTGCCATTATATTCTTAAACCTTATCGAAGCTCTCTTAATCCAAAACTCAAACTCGGTCTCACGGGTCTCTACATGTTCCAGTAGGAATTGCGTGAGAGGTTCACAATTGCCCACTCTCAATACCAGCCCAGCTTGGAGAGTGGGTGTGTTTATCTGGGTGTCGGAGAGAGCGACTTGTCACTGACGCCTACTGAAAGCAAGGATTTCTGCATGCCTGACAAATGTGCAAACTACCAGACACTGTATGTAGCCTTAAGTTAAAACATATTATATCTGAACATGCATGAAGAAAGGACAGGGAACATATAACAGCCACATATCAGCTTCGAACATTGGCCAAAAGGTTTTATGTTGTATGTTGGATGAAACGCTATAATCTGTCCACCCAAAGTAGAACACGCTCCAGCTGCATGAATTGGCATTGCTGCGCAACCACAACAGAAACGATTCTGTCTCTTTGCTGCATTCTTTCCGTGGTTTGAGTTGGGTTGTAAAACTTCATATTTACATTTGATCCGTGTATTTTAAACGACCAAAACACTGTTCTCTCTCATTCACGAAGTTCAAATTCAATGATATGACAATTTAACTCCAGCCCAGACCTCAAACTAACCCTGATAGTATAATCCAAATAAAATAAAAACCTAATAAAACTGTCTTGCACTCGTCTTTTGATCCCATCCTCACGTGGCCTTTTAACTTCTCACAAAGGTACAAGGACATACAGAGGTATACTATGTACACAATGCACACATTCATATATATGCACCTGCAGACACTGTCCTCACCGTGCGACATTCAGGACATTCCCTTCACAAACTGACGGGAGATGACAACAAGGCATTCTGGACATTTGTTCTCTGTGACCGGTGCTGACGGCTGTAGCCTGTGGGTAAAAGCCACATGTCGTAACCTCGTGGGCTTTAAAAATGTACAGAATGACACAAGCACTGATGGAATGATCTATACGCTGCCGTTTATCATGTGAGCTCACACTCTCTGCCAAACATCAACAGAGCAGAGTCGTGGAAACTGTATCTCTGTGGTCCAGCTTCACAGGCAACAAGCTGGTTGTAGCAAACACACACAATCACACATCATAACATCACTGTGGTTTTTTTTTTTCCAGCGATTGGTGGATCAATAAAAGCTCTGTTAGGAAGCTGCCATCCCTGAGGCACTTTCCCACAAACAGGCTTAATACTCTCTGCTCTGTTGCCCCCCCCCCC